AAAAGTGAGGTCTAGCGAGAACTTGGCAGACCTCTTCACCAAATCCCTTCCTACATATACTTTTGAGAAATACATTTATGGTATTGGTATGCGTAAACTGGGAAGACTGTTGTCTTCAGGGGGAGGGAAAAACTCAAAATAATCACGAAAATTAGGTCCTGAAGACCAAATGTTGTACTCTTTTTCCCCTTTAACTAAGTTTTTCCCAATGGGTTTATTAGTAAAGGTTTTTGACGAGGCAGCTAGTAAAACACATGAATTTTTATAAATCATGTACTCTTTTTCCCTTGACTAATTTGTTTTTCCCCAGTTGGGTTTTTATTAGCAAGGTTTTTAATGAGACATGTAGTAATGTCCAAGGGGGAGTGTTATAAATATATTTATATGGACATTACTAATATATGATTGGGCCTGAAGTCCATTAGTCAGTAGGATTAGGTTGTAGGGCTTCCTTCTTGTAAACTTTGTAAAAGGGTGATTATACCGATGAATAAAGGATACTTTTCTGCTTCTCTTTTATCGTTCTCTTTACTGTACATCTTATCCTTGGATTGATGGATGCTTGTTGAAGATTAAGAGTTCCAATTTACAACAATTACATATTTTTTATTTAATTTAAGATCATTCCTTAATGAATGTAATTATATATAGGCCGCACATTCCATATTTATGGTTTAATATATTAGTCAATTTCCATATTACAAAATCTTTATGTCCATCTGTATTTCGCAAATATTTTTTCAAATTACAAAATTAATTAAATCGGAGAGGAAAGTCGGGGGATTTTAAAGTTTGTTAGTAATGTTCGAAAAAATCTTCATGTTCATATTTATCTCATACATATTTTTCCAAATTACAAAATTGATTGAGTTTGGACTCTTTGAATCATTTATTATATATGATTAGTTATTCTGCCATATTTTATATCAATCTCTCATATCACATAGAATCTTAAATTGTCACGTAAATTTTGGTTAGATTTAATAAACTAATTATTATACATTATCCCCTCCCCTATATATTAATACAGAATGCGCTGAGCCTACGTGGTTGCTTCTGGGGCTTCGGAATCCTATGTGGCAAAATTACATGCTTCGTTATTAGGCTTGGGTAGATTTTAATTTAATTCCAAACAAAAAATAATTAGGTTCGGATTACTATAAATATGTTGATTATTTATGATCATGTTACATATATTAATTGTATTTTAATATCATTCCTGATTATAACTATTGAATTGTATATATATTTTAAAAGTTAATAACTTTTGTATTTTTTA